TGGAGGGTGCATGGCGCAACATGGCGCAACATGGCGCATGGTGCAACCGCAGCTCTGTGTGAAGTAAACACGGCACGTTGAAGGCTTTTCAACACACTTCACTTGAACAGGGAATCTTTGGGAATCGAACTGGGATGGAACTGCTGCAAACTGATGTGGCATGATGTGGTGCAAAGTTTGATCCGAGGAAATCGGAGGTGGCTGCTGCGCTTTGACAGATGGCATTCAGGCGATCTCCGTTGTGAGTTGCTGCAAGTTCTCACATGAGTTGTATCATGTTGTATCAATTCTTGAATCAAGTTGTATCAAGTGGTAAATGTAACATGCAAATAATATGCAACAAGCTTCCAGTTCTTTGGAGGGCAAAGTACATCCTGCCACAGGAGAAGTGATAGCCTCATACCATTGAGAAATGCAGGGGATAGGATGGGAGCTATGGGAGCTGTGCAGGTGGGATTGCTTTGTCACGCTGGCTCGCTGGCGATGGGTTCTTTCCTGGTGACTGCCTTCTTCGTTCGGCACCAAGTACAGAATGTGCAGACAAGTACATAGGCGAGTTTAGGCAAGTTTAGGCGAGCATGCGAATGCAACGAATGCAATATACAATGCAACAAATGCAAAGACCAAGCACCACATTCATGTGCGCTTCGACCCACATGTTTGAGCTTCGTTGCACAGTGAGTCGTGGCATGCACCAGGTTCGGCACATGAGACTCGCCATTGCTTTCTCTCAGGTCCTGCAAGTCCTGGTGAACATCTTTGAAGCCGCCAACAAGGATGACGATATGACGCAATGTGATACGATCCAACGAACACCAACACTACGATGACTGCGATGACACATGTACAACACATTGACATCACAAATCATCACAACAAACGGTTCAAAGATGTTGAAAGCTCAAACGATCTGATTGCTAGGAAGGGAGGGAAGATGAGGGAAGGCACAAGCTGTGACGCTATCTCACACTGTGATATCACACTGTGACGCACAGGAGGAGACCGAGAACCCTTGCGCGAAGTGTTTGCTCAACGTCGGGGAACCAAGGTTTGTTGTACCATGTTGTACCGGGCAGAAGATTTAAAGAGTGAGAGGAATTTTGACTTCTTAGACTTAAGTCTTAGACCTGGTCGTGGACAAGAAATTTGTTTGCGTTGTTTCATGTTGTTTCGTTTTGTCCCGTTGTAGCACCCGTCAGTGCGTGAAGTGCTGCCTGGCTTGCTTCGAGAAGATTGTGGAGTTCTTGAACAAGAATGCAGCACTCTCAGGTGGTCATACTGCAGGGCTAGGCGAATCTAGGGGCAGTAGGCAGGTGATTCCAGTCTCAGAAGAAAGACTTGAGGAAACTAAGAGCCCCACGACTTCAAAAGTTCTATATTTTGGCTGCACTTTTAACATCTTTTAACGACAGAGTGCCTCCGCATATCAAGATGCTCAATTGCGGGGTCGTCTATTGTTAAGCGGTCTTTCTCCACGTATTAAGATGTTCAAGTGAGATTCAAGTGCGCGATGCTCAAAATACTGCAGTTGTTCTTGCAGTGCGAGCACCAAAGCAGTGAAGAGGAAACAAGTTGCAGCTTTTACCTTTGGCAGGTCTTACAAACTCGGACAAGACTGGCTCAAAACTTGTGGATGTGCCGAGGCTTATGTGGATATTGCTATGACTTCGAACGATTATTGCACTGCGGTGAGGCGCACATCACATACCATCCTAGACCATGCAAAACGAATTCAACACATCACAACCTACCCTGCAGGAGAAGAAACTGAACATGTTTTCTGATTTGAGATTGATATGAGAAGATAATTATGGAGGCATTGGGTGATGGGTGATGTAGTTCAATGTTTTTTTCAATGTAGTTCCGTGATTTTGTGACGACTCGGTTGCTGACAGGGAAGCGATTGGAGTGATTAGTCGGCTGAGCACTTAGCCGACTTGGCCGACTGGTCGCCCCATTTGCCGAACATACTGTTTACTCATGTACCAGGTATTACATACACATATTTACTCATACACGAGTCATACCTGGTACAGTTCCTGGTACAGTTCCTGGTACACAGAAAGAGTCTCGAGTCATGAGTTAAGCTTCACATTCTGCGTATGCCCAAGAGCTGTTCGCAAGAAAGAGATCAAAGTTCTGTAGTCGAGTTTGACAAACCAAATCTTCACTAGCGTTTTATAGTGATTATAGTGTTTTGTTTCTTTGTTTCCAATGTCGTTGAACCATGCATAACCATGCTGAAGCGATGTGGATAACATTTTGGTCACGCTGAGGCTGCCAGTGGCTATGGCTGTTCTCAACGGTGCCACTGTAGTGCGGAACTTCAGCGGCTTCGGAGATGCAGAGATTCAAAGAGAGTCAGACGGTGGAGCTGAACCACCGAGATGAAACCGAAGAAAAGAAGAAAAGAAAAGAAGAAGATCACCGAGATGCAGTGCTTTGAACACTTTTGGTCACTTTTTTCACTTTGCTAATTGAAGAACATGAAAGCAGTGGTTTTTTTCCGGTTCGATTCGGGTTCGAGCACATTCTCTGCCACCGTTTTCCTCTTAGGTCTTTACTCTCTTCGGTTGCCTTTTCACTGTCATTTGTGGCTCGGACCGGCCAAAGCCGACATTGCGCCGGGGGAAGGAATAAGAAAAACCCATGGGGATTTTATTCCCGTTTTGCTATGAGAGCTCAACAAAAGAACTCTACGTTGATCCGGGTTGACCCGGGTTGATCTGCAAGTTTCTTCCCCGAGGTTGTGCCGCGTTTACTTTCTTCCTCACAACATCAGAGACCTTTTCGGCGCCAGATTCGATGTGGCCCAGTCGTGGTTGTGGCAGTTTGGGCACTTGGCCGTCATGAACCACCAAGAATTCTGGAAAGTCGCTAGCCATGCCACTTGACATATAGTCTTGACATATAGTTTATAGATGTCTATAGAATCCTATAGATGTCTATAGTACTTAAGACGTACTACTTAAGAATCTTACGACCAATACGTTTTGAATTCACCTGAAATGACCAATACCCACGGCACTGCGCTGGCCAGGTTTTTCGTCGATGCGCCAGTAGCTGTTGCGATTTCGGGGGGCATCATCGGCGGTCTCGTTTCGTTGCCACCCAGCCGCACCAGAAACAAATCAGAGACATGTCATGGAGACAAACATCGAAAGATCAAGATTGTTGAGGCATGAGAGTATTGGAAGAGGGGGTGAAGACACTATAAGACACTTTCTGTTTGGGACTTGTGTTTCCAAGGTAGTTGCCTTCACCAATGTACCTTTTCAAGTTTGTGTCAACTTGTCAAACTGAGGTGTTTTATGACCATCTTGGACATGTCGACAGATGCCCTCCTGTACTACTACGGTTTGGGGCTGAGATGGTCTGAGGTTTGCTCGGTTTGCTCGGTTTGCATTGGTTCCCAGATCGTTGAAGATCTGTGAAAAAATCGAGGTTTGGATTGGAACGACAACAAACGCGGCCACGACAGCAATGCCCCCAACAGCATCAAGGTGCATTGGGTGGGAAACCTGAAAAGAATCAGAGGCAGAATCTTGAAATAGAAAGAGTTTTGATAAGTTTTGATTAGAGTTCCAAAGATTCCACTCTGTGCTCAGTTGTTTGAGGGTGTGAGACGTAGATTCTGTGAGAGTTTCATCCTTCCATCAAAAGTTGAGATTGCAACAACTGGCGTTGAAACCGCACTGTGCTTTCAGGAGCTGGTTCATGGTGATCGAAGGTAGAACAAAGCAGCAGAAGGTCAAACTTCAGTACCAAAGTTGCATATAGCAACCTATATGGTTAGTATATAGTTGGGTAAAGCATCGTAAAGCGTATTCAAGACTTTCAGGACCCGAAACAAAGATACGATGTCCTGTTAGGGCAAGGCACAGTGATACGAGATAGGGACAAGAGAGAGAATCGAATTTGAGATGTGGTTGAAATTGGAAGACACGAGAGAAGGACGTATAAAGATGTATTAAGGACGTGTCTCAAGGACGTATTAAGGACATTTAAGGACGTATTGTTTTTGTGTCTATTTACAGTGTCTCAGAAAACCGCCAAAACGTGCCCTGGGCATCTCAAGGGCATCGTAGCGGCATCGTAGCATATGGCATGTGGCGTTTCTAGACGCCCAGGCCTCATGGGTCAGGGTATGGTTCGGTATGGTATGGTCTCTTGGAGGACCGGCATCCCGGACATGTTTCATGGTTTTCGTTGTGACTCAAAATCAACAAAATCAAAATCATGTTACAAATCATTTCACTAAGATTGTTGAAGTTGCTTTGTTGAAGTTAATTATGTGTTATTCCTTTTTGTGTTTTCGTTTCGAAATTTTCGAAACTCTGGGATTCTTTTGATTTGCCAGCCGGATGCGGGAAACGCATTCCTCGCGGAGCTAATGTCGGGTGGAGCAAAGACTCCGGTGAATCAAAAAGGACGCAGATACTGCGAATTGCAACGCAATCAAAAAGGTATCAAACAACACCTTCAGAATCCTTGAGATACCTTACGAATATCAATATATCACTATATTTACTATACATATATATATATATGTGACATATGTGTTTTAAGATGTTTTAAGTTTTAACATGATTTAACTTGGGGCTTTTGTTTCATCCACTCCATTGTGCGTTTCATCTCGGATCTATCTTCTGTGATTGCCTTGGCACCGACAGTTGAGGGCTCAAGACACAGCTTGAATGCAGCTGAGTATCTGTGAGTTATAGAGACCAATCGACAACGTCTTACTGCGTTCACAGAGGCATTGGCTGCGTGAAGGCGTTGCCTCCTTCAATTGTCGATGAATTCACCCATCTGCAAACAGTGATGACATCATGATGCGAAAACCAGCTGATGACATGTCTGACATGTTCCCCAATTCATCCTCCTCGCAGACGCAGAAGACGCAGAACACGCAGAAAATGAATTAAAAAAGTGTTTGGAAGTGTTCCAAAAATTTTGGGAAGCTTCACATGGCTTGATGGCTTGACCGCGGCACCGCCATGGCAAATGGCAGGAGTCGAGTCCCAAATTGATAACCCGAGTCGGCTTCATTCGGACTTCATTCACTTTGGCACTTTGGCACTTTGGCACTTTCACATCTTTCACATCTTTCACATCTTTCACTTCCCCGACCACTTCGCATCACTTTGATATAGCCAACGCATGTGTTTGATGTAACCAAATGTGTATATCAGCGTATATCAACAATTGTTTGACGTGTTTGATACTTTTTGCTTTTGTCTTCACTGGCAGAATTGTAGCATGGCAACAGTTTTTTAGATCTTTTTAAAGTGCAGTCGGCAAAGAGTGAGAAGACGTGGAAGCGCCAAACGCAGAGGAGCAAGTTGTCCGATCGCAATTTGCTGCAAGCTGCTTGTCATGAGTTCCAGAAGGTGGCTGTGCCTAGTTCACGTTGGTTTACATTCCGTTTACATTCCTTCTTGAATTATCGTATTCATATTATATGGAATACATTGGAGAATCATATGAATATAATTTATATTCATATGATTCTCCAATGCATTCCATATATTTCCACATTATGTTTTTTCCAGTGTTCTCCCAGTGTTTTCAGTTGACAAGATGGATATTGGGAGTACTGGGAGAACACTGGAAAAAATGAGCTGTGACGAGCGGCGCTAGGTGGACACCTACCACCGTGGCCTGATCACCTCGGCCAACTTCGCCAAGGCGTCGAGAGAAGATGTGAGGTTACTAAGACGTAAGGATTCAGACGTAAGACATGTAAGTTTTACCAGGGCAGTTGGGTCTCGCTAGACCCATTTTCGCCACACATTTTTTATGGTCTTGAGATGTCCTTAGATGTCTTGAGGCTCTTGGAACTCTGGGCTTGAAATATGGACAGCCGGAGGCTGGTGGCTGGTGCTAACATTGTTGAGGATTGGTGCCGACAAATTGTCGACAAAGTCGGCCAGTCAGCAATTGAGCACAGCAGATTTCAAGGTCAAGTTGTGCACTCCTTTCACTCGGACCAGGTGGATGAGATTCTGCAGTATTGCACTGTCACAGATGATGGATATGTCCACTACAAGGATGTTGGCCACAGAGAATGATGCACTGTTCAGGGGTTCTGCAGGTTATAGATGGTTATAGTGATAGATAGTGATAGTGCACACTGGCACAGCGGTTCAAAAATGTAGTGTTTCCACTTCATCGACATCATGAGATCTCTGTGGAACATGGTGCCGCTCCTTGGGAGGAGCTGCACAACGTGCTGTCGCCAGATCAGCCCCGAGCAAAGCAGAGTTGCTTGGCACCACATTGGCACCACACTGGCACAACCAAATGAAATTGAAGATGATTAGATCAATAGATGATTCATGATGATTCCACATCGGATAAGCATCGGTCAACCATGTTCAAGCAAATTTTGCCATCGATTGTCATCTCGGCAAGGCAGCATGAAGACCACCATTTATCCAAGTGAGGCAGTGCCCGCAGCTCTAAATCATCAAATTTCAGAGTGATCTGTCTCTTTCAGATTGATACCTTTTGTTCTCTCTCTTTTTTCATGATTTAGCTGTAGCTGGTTTTTCCTTGTTCTTGCTTTTTGGGCTCTTAAGACATTGCATTCGGAGGCTTCAGAAATGATGGCTTCGAGTGGCGAACGCAATGGGTGCGCCAAGTGCAGTGCAGTACGCAGTGCCAGTTGCAAAATATATCAACATCGAACACTGACAAAGAAAGAGCAGTCTGGAAAATGAGACTCGATTTGATAGATGCAATCTGGACAGAATGCATTGGACAAATGGTTGATCATGTCTGGGGTCGTCTTTGCATGCTTTTTGATTGCAAGTCATGAACTTGTCTTGTGAACAGGTTTTATGTAGCCAAGACGGAAGACATTCGCAAGGCCGACCCTATCACCAATCTTTGAATAGCTGGAGAGGTTGTGGATCCAACACCTCCATATCCTCTTTTCCAGGTTTTGTGCAAGTCATGAGGTTTCGGACAGATGAGTAGTGTGATTATGTGTGATTATGAATCGATATGAATCGATATGATTCAAATGATGTGTCCTCTGTGAAACTGTTGATTCCAACATGCAAATTGCGCTACATCGATGAGTCGTCGATGGGCGAGGTCTTTGCACTGTGGGAGAGGGGGCGAATCTCCAGTGAACAGTTCAAGGAAGCATTGCAAAGTCAGAGGCTCAGCTTGGAGGTCTTGAAGGTCTTGAAATCGGGAGCTTGGAAGTTTGAGAACCTGCAGCAACAAGGATTTTTGAGATCTTCTGACTCCATTCTGATATTGAAATTCTTGAAATGTTCAATCTGCAGCCATTTGTTCAGTGTTCACATTGTGTTCTTCTATCATTATAATAGATACTAATAGATTCTAGATTTATATATATTTATATTATTTATATATATATATATATATCATGTGTATCATCTATATCATTTATATTACAATTTATATCATGTGTATCAACTGTATATCCCTCACATTTCCTCAATGAACTCCTTGGCCCTGGGCACTGCGTCACTGCGGCGCTCAACGTTGCAGGGTGTGGTGCACCGATGACCGCGGAGCTGGACCGGCTTCTCCTTATGCACCGACGAAAAAAAACGACATCTGAAGACATCGGGCGACCGGTTTATGGATGTTTATGGCATAAATGGGGAATTCTAATATTTCTAATCTCATACTATGATGATATTTATGATATTTATGATCCATACATTCTCACCATTCTCATACTATGCTCCGTGATGTCCATGATATCCATGTTTTCTATGTCTTCTGTGTCTACGTCTACCAAGATCTAGCAGGAATTGCAGCGTTTCGATCTGCCACAATCTGCCGTCAGTTGACATGTGACATCCCATGGCTCATGGCTCCAGGTATGGTCCTGCGAGATCGATGCCCTTCAGCCACGCGTCACAGTTCAGATACCTTCAGACCTTCAGAGAGACTTTGGACATCCGATCTCGGAGGAATGACGATAGCGGACGATATCAGATATATCAGATGTCATGTATTGAACAGATGTTCAGATGTCAAAATCGTCAAATTCTTGGCAAAGACAAAGATATAGCTGATATAGCTGATATACACAGATGTTCTCTTTGGAAAATTCAGACGGATGAGAAGGGTTCGCTGGTTCTTTGGCAGAATCACACCAAGCTCACAAGGCAAGCTGATGTATGCCTTGCAGATCGACGCTAACGATGGAAGAAGAGCTCGAAATGCGTCGCTTTGAAATCAAAGCATATCGAGACAGGTCAAAACAGATCAATCATGCATGTTTTTGCCAATCTAAGATGTTACTATTCTATATTGTGATCTTATGTACAATCTATGTGTTTTTAATCATGTTCAATCCATCAACGCAGCAATGCAAGCAATCTCGAATCTTTGAAAATGACTGTTGCAAGGAGATCTTTGGATTGTGAGAGCCGGTTCAAGCCGGTTCAAGCGTGCCCTCGAAATTTGGAGTTTGAGTTTGCAAGTTCATCCCGGTTCAGCATGCTCATCCCAGGCACGGTGTTGCAGCCACGCCTTTCGATCAAGTTTCTCAGCTCAAGGATGCCTGTCGATGCCGTGAGGTTTTTTCAACCTGAAACATGGTGCTGAGAGACGCTGAGAGAGAGAATTCAGTAGAAAAGCATAGAAATCTGTGGAAGATATAGAATTCCGTAGAAATCCAGATGATTCAATAGAAATCCGTAGAAATCCATGGAAACTTTGGAATTCCAAAGAAATCCAGATGAGAATTCCACAGAAATCCAAAGCATGTAATAGAATTCAAAAGAAATCAGTGGAAACTGTATTTAAAAAAATTGCATGGAAATCCAGAGAAGTGAAAACAATCCATAGAAATCAATGGAAACTATAGAATTCCATTGAATTCCACAGGATTCCATGGAAATCCAAAGAATTTAAAACAAATTCGCAGAATTCAATGGAAACTATAGAATGAAACTCGGAGAATTCAATAGAAATTCATAGAAATCTGTGGAAGGTATAAAATTCCGTAGAAATCCAGTTGATTCAATAGAAATCCGTAGAAATCAATGGACACTACAGAACTCCAATGAATCTCGGAGAATTCAATAGAAAAGCATAGAAATCCGTGGACGGTAAAGAATTCTGTAGAAATCCAGATGATTCAATTCCCAAATCATGCCAGTTTTCAAGGTAAAATGTTCAATTCATGAAAGATTATTTTTTCTTAACTTATTGTAACCCGTCATACGATGACAGAAACGAAAAATAATTCCGATTCTTTAATATCGAGTTGCCAGCGATACGTGATTTGTTTTGCAATTATCAAGCTGGGATCGAGGTTGAATTGATGTTGAATCCAGATAAATTATGAAATTTGTTCTTTTGAGTAACCATTTGAGTAAAGTCTCACCAAAAAATGTATTTGAGGGAAATTGAGTTGGTTTTGAGTTGATTTTGAGTTGATTTTGAGGAAATTTACGTTTTTTTCTCTAAAAAAAAATCGGTTGAATTTGAGTAAATTTGAGGTTGCGCCGAGTGAATTTGAGTAAGATTTGAGGTTTCACGAAATAAATTCAAATCTACTCAAAATCCACTCAAATCCTACTCAAACCATAAAAACGATAGATTGAGGTGGTTTTGAGTAAGCACTCTTACCTCAACCGGACCTCAAACCGTAAAAAACCTCAACCGTGACTCAAAGGAAAAAAGCGAACCTCAACTGAGGCTCAGCGTAGGCTCAGCCCACACTCAGCTGCGGCTTAACTGGTACTCAACGTATACTCACCGCATACTCAACTGATACTCAAACGTATATCACTGACTCAACCGTACCTCAGCCACACCTCAAGCGTACCTCAATGTCATTTTCTCAACACTTGCCCACGGCCAACTGCCCCCCCCCTAACCATTCTATGAATCTTCGTTCCAATCTTCCCGTTGTGAAAAAATCTAAACTCAGAAAACAAAAAGAATCATCCAACAATACCGGGAAACAAAAAGAATCTCCAGGCTTCAAGCCTTGGTCAAACCAAAAAATGCCCTTGGTGAAACGTCCAGGAAAGTCACCTCTCACCCCAAAGACCTCAACCTGCATCCGACCCCAGGGAACCAGGGGGAGCGCGTCTGAGAAGCAATGCCAAATGGCAAGAAAGAGGGTGCATCTGCAAAATTACTTCGTTGGTCTTCATTGAATTCGTTTGGCAACACTATCCTGTTGGTGACTTCAGAAGCCACGCAGTTCCCTGCTGGTATAGTGAATCTTGAAAATTCTTCAGGTTTGATGAACTCTTTTGAGAGTGTTATAAAGGGTGACTATACTATACTTTCATGAGGTTTTGCCGAGGGTGGGCACATGGTCAGGAGGTGTGGGAAACAAAAGCAAGTACATATACTATATACAGACAAAAAACCCTGCAATGATCATCAATAATTGCATAAATCACTTGTGACATCGTTTCAACAATACCGGGAAACAAGAAGAAAATGCAGGCCTCAGGCCTTGGTCAAACCAAAAATGTATAAAAATGTGAAGCGTCCTCCAGGAAGGTTACCTCTCTCCATCCAAAGGCCTCAGCCCAGCCTCAGCCAGCTTCCCCTGCTTTTCCAGAAGGATCGCCAGGTTGTTCATGGAGATCAGCGTGGACGGATGATTTGCACCAAACTGAGCTTCCTTTACTGCAAGAGCTCGGCGGTGCAGGGCCTCCGCCTGGCATCTCGGGATGGCACCGGTGGTGTGGGGCCCCAGGCCTGGATCCGCCTGCGAGTACCATGTGGAAAGGGAAGAAAGGTGGGCAACGGCCTTGAGTTTGGACTGATGAAAAAGATGTCAAGTACAATTCAAAACTTGAAGAATAAAACACAAAGTTCGACGAGTTGACATTTCAACATAATTTGGATGTGTGTCATCTGCGTCCCAATCTTCCATTTGCAAATAAACTCCAACCTCAGAGTGCATCTGTTCTGTGATTTTTTGCAAAAACGCTTTGACAGCCTCAGACATCTCAGACTGAAACTTGCAACGCGGCATCTGTTCTTTGCAAACATCTTTTGCTAAACTTTGACATGTCCATGTTTTGGCACGTCCATACATGACGTGATTTGAGATGATTTGAGATGATTTGCGTAAAATTGACATGTTCATGCATTATCGCACTTCTATAATATAGATGACAAAATTTTGAGATGATCTGAAAATGCGGTGATTGTTTGCCTGCAATTTTTCCCAACTTTTCCCAACACAAAATGCAGCACCATCCACCCGCCACGGCGCCTCGCTGAACTTCCCCAGCTGCTCCAGAACGAACCCCAAGTTGTTCACCGCGGCGAGCGTGTCGCGGTGCTCGGGGCCCCGGAGGCGCTCTTCGGCCTCCAGGACTCGGTGCAGCAGCGGCACGGCCTCGGCGAAGGCGCCGCGGGCCACCAGCACCCGGGCGAGCCTCAGCCGTGGATCGCCACGGGAGCCGAAAAGTTTCCCACGGCTCCGTGGAGGAGAGAGGGCACATTTTTCACTAGTTGTGGTGTCGTGGATCCAAATCTCTGGATCCAAATATTTTTTGAGCAGTTGCTATAGGCTATACTTGTTGATGCTGTTTGATGCTATTTGATGCTTGTTGTAAATACTGTTGCCTACTGCAATCTACGGCTTTCACTTTTGCAGCTTTGTGGCATCTCTGGATGCAAATCTCTGGTGACAAGACAATACAGTTCTTGACTCAACAATACATGTTTGCTAATGTGTTCGTCTCTTTGGAGGGACTGAGGTCCGCACCGGCTCAGTGCCAAAAGCGCTTTGTCGTGCTCAGGGCCCAATCTTTCGGCTGTGGCATCTGCACGGCACCGCAGCCTTGGTCCATGATGATGCCTATCACATGGCTGTGCCTATCACATGGCAATGCGGTGGTCGACCATGTCACCAACATGGAAGACACATCAAGTTCAAGAGAATGGCCAACGGTACGCAAAATCGTCAAGGTGTGGGACGGCTCCCAGCTTCAGTCAGAAGCTGCCTACTGGGCTGCAATTGATGGCCCCTGCTTTGCGGGATCTTCAACCATCTTCAACCATGTGTTTTTACGCGTGAGGATGGGAGGGCGCCAAGTTTTTTGAAATTGGCAGACATTTGTCCTAAATGGAGCGGGTAATTCAAGTCAACTCATAGCATAATCAATAGACATGGCATAGACGAATATAGCCGATAGATACTATAAAACTCGAAGTGGGCCGTACTCAAGAAATCTCAGAAGGAAATGTCGCGCGGGCACTCCTGAAAGAGTTTCAAAGTTCCAGAACCTGAGTCACGCCTTCTCCACATCTTAAAGTGAATGGTCATGTGGCAAGATCAAACGTCAAGCGATTCTGCTCCATGCCTTTACTCCCAGATACTTTCAAATGCAGGACAAGGAGCCCGAGCCAGGACAAACGGTGTTTTTATCTTGCGGTGTACCTTTCTAGATCTGGAGTCTGGAGTGCAAAATATTGGATTGACAAGCGCGCCCGCTCTCGAAACAGAGCTTGAGCTTCGTGCTTTCTGTTTGGTATCCATCCTGCCACGACCATGATACTTTGACCCACAAGAGAGGTTCCGTAAACTTGCCAGGGCGCGACATAACCAGAGATCCCGAGAGAAGGAAAGGCAACACCAGAGCAAGAGAGCAGCGGAAACAGTCCGCAGGGTTGCATCAAAAACAAATGTTGAAATCATGCTGGTTCTGGTCCAAATCGACCGAAGGGACCAGTGTGCATCTCGAACTTGATAATTCATGAAAAAACAAAAACTTGTCAGCCCTCTGGATCATTTTTCTAATAGAAGTCTTGAACTCGGCCCACCTGATTTAATCCTACTGGACGAATCCTAACTCCTGGATATGGCAAGCTCAAAGGAACAAAACCCCTGGATTGAACGGCCCTAACCCTGGATGGTTAGCCGACTCAAGATCCAAGTTCCAAGCCCCAAAAGCAGCCAAGTTTCGTGTCCAGCAGCACTGCGCTGGCGTGGCCCACTTCCTCCTCTCTTTCCACCCTGATCACCACGCACTGCCTCTCTGGCTGACCAGGTTCATTGAGCAGCTTTCCTGCCAGGTTCCTGGGCAGCGGACTTGAAAGCAATGTGTGAGTCATTGCGCAGCTTTCATATTATGAAGCACTCAGGTACTGGGTCCCGGACACGCCGGGAAGCTTGCCCTACCGGTGCAGAGCAAACATGAGCCAAATGGTCCCGCATGTGTCCACACAAAATCGATTCAGCTCCAGGCAAAGCAAACAAATGCTACCCGATGCTGCCAGCCTCCTTCTGCATCTCCGGCGTCTGTTGAATCGAAACGTCGTATGTGACGGCGGCGTTGGCCAATATCGGGATGCAATAGGCCACGCGCGAGGCATACTCCTCCATGACTGGATCTAGGTCTGTTAATTTGCAAACACTGACGATGTGCGCATCCAAAAATTGAACCAAAACTGTGGGCAATGTTGCGCCTAAGAAAGGCACACTCTCCTCGTCCGCAGCCTCGCGGCCTTTCGTTTTCACGTCTCTCGCGTGCATGTTGCGGTAATTGTTGTCGATCAGCGTTGCCACATCTGGCCAGTCATCGGGCGCTCTTCGCACGGTATAGACTCCTCATCAGAATTGT